CTGTCTCTCATATCAGCATGCGTTTTATAATTTTTAGTTTTGACTAAGTTACTCTGGTTCTTGAGGTGTACTGTTTAGAAACTAGTCTGTTAAAAGTCAAACTCTTTTTTCATTTTATTGTTTCTGAGGTCAGCTTTTAAAATCTCCTTTAAATTGGGCGTGGTGGCATACAGTAGGAATGCCAGCACTCTGGGAGGGTAAACAGGAAGGTTTAAACCCAGACGGGCAACTTACTGACTCAGGGACAGGCTAGGGACTTGCTCAGTATAAAGGCTCAGGTTCAATCTTTAGTACTAAAAAAAAACACTACCCTGCTGTATCAGCTAAGGTCCCCTGACAGCATGCCTAAGTCTGGAAAGATATACATTGCAGGGACAGAGACAGAAAGTAACCCACGCATAATTCTGAAGAGAGAACAGCAACTCTAAATTGTACTCCGGTTCCACAGTCATGGGTTCTCCATTTGTCCAGGAGCATAGATGTGTCACAAGTGCAAATAGCAGTAGTTCAAACAGCGAGGAGGATGCAGTGTAATGACTGGATTTAATGACTGTGGTATTAAATAGGACCCCAGGATCAAAAAGCAGGTAAACCTCAGGAACAAATCTAATCAGAGTCTCAAATGTAGTCTCACTCTTCCCCCTTGATGGTTTATAAAACTACTGAAAACTTAGTTTTTGCAGCTCCCAGTGGCATTTAAAGACAGTCTGACCCAGTGGCACATGACTGTAACTCCAGCACCCAGGAGGCTGAAGCAGAAGGATCACAAATTGGAGGCCAACGAAGCTATAGAGCGAGATCCTGCCTCAAAAACACTGTCTAAGGGATAAGCCCGACCTTTCTTTCTAAGTTACACTTCCAAAATTCCCAGAAAAGTACACGAAGTATGGCCAGGGGAGGGGGTAGTTTCCTACTGCAAAGACATAAACCTTTCTGTGGTTACCAGGCAGATGATCTGATGAGTAGTAAATTTTCCAATACAAAGCAGTACATGCTGGGCAGACAAATCTGTTAGGAGCTCTCTGTCATTCTGACTGGATTCACAGTTGAAGCCAATACTTTTTTTTTTTTTTTGTCTTTTTGAGACAGGGTCTCGCTATGCAGTTCAGGCTGGCCTTGCGCTCACTTTGTAGCCCAGGCTGATCTCAAACTCACAACAATCCTCCTGCCTCAGCCTCCCCAGTGCTGGGATTACAGGGGTGCACTACCGTGCCCAGCTGCCAACACTTCCTATACCAGCACACATGTACAACTTCCTCCAAAGTCTCACTTTAATCTATGTTCCATACTTTTATCCCTCCGTGTGACTTTCCCTACACTCTGAATCTGGCAGCACCAACCTATTTTCTCTTCCTAGAATGTGCGATATTTTTCGGTGCCTATGAGGCTTTGTACATATTTGCTTCTTCTGAAAGACCTTTTTCTCCATAGTCGGCCTGGTGTTGTCCATTATCTTTCACGTACAGCTCAGTGTTACTTCTAGAAGCGTTTTCCCCAAAGTGGAGCTTATTGCTTTTTTACACTTTTCTTGGGCCCTATCACATTTGACGATAGCTGTTGAATTTGTTCCTTTTCTCTACCAATTTGTGTATTTTAAAAGTGAACTATATTTTGATATTTATTTCAATGGTGGCTTATCCTTGGTTGCAACATCACGGAAGTTCAAAAAAATTCTCAGTAACTCTTTTATTATTTTTCTCCCAGGCCTAAGTCTTCTCAACACCCAGCTCCCTAGGCTATTAGCAAACTGTGAAAAGAGTGATTTCTTCTATCCTCAATTTTTGTGTTTTATTTTTAAATTAAAATTGGACTATGCAAATGTAATTTCAGCTACCTCTCCCTTACATTAAAATAAAAATACCTTCCGTGCATAATCCTAATGAAAAACGCAACACACACATCCTCCCATATCCACCCACCATGAAAACAGCAGAAGTGAATACTAACAAAAATCGAGTTTAAAACATCCCCCAAATATTGAAATCTGGGGCTGAGCGCCGGCGAATGAGTAATGGAGATAAAATTCGGGTTCTCCTTTTGCAGTTTTAAATTAGTTTCTCAATGCCAATCATAAAACAGGCAATCGCACACCTCTCTGCCTTTCCGCTCACCCACTTCATCTCTTCCTCCCTCTTTCCTCCTTGCGAAACTAAAGATGGGCTGGGCGGCTCGGGAGAACGCGGAGCACGGCGGTCCGCTGCTCCGTCCTCTCCCACTCCTTCTTCTCGTTGGATTAAAGCCCCCGCTTCCTCCTCACCTGCCCGCTTTCATCTGAGGGACACGCTCACGTTTCTCTGTCACACCTGATCTTACTGCAATTTGTAAACTCGCGGACAGGGAAGGTATCCTTTTAAGTACGTGGGTTTTTAAAAAAAGACAACTTACAGTTAATCATTACAAATATGAATTAAAGTTTCAAATTTTCCGGATTTCTAAGCAACTTAGAGTAAGATCAGGTAATTTTCGCTGCATTCAGGGGGGAAAAAAAAGCATCCATTCTTATTCAGTGGATTTGCCTGACGAAATCTGTCTACCTTTTATTTCCTTATCTAAGCCCGGAAAGAACAAAGTCAGTAAAAATCAATATATGCTTATTAAGCATTCCCAGGCGAGAGTGAATTAAGTGGGGGTGGGGGGTGGGGGAGTGGTTACGATCAGCGATTCGAGCAGTTTTCTGAAATTCAAAACCAATAACC